CTTTTGCTTCTCGTAGGAAAGCGCTGTAATACTAAGTATTTTTTTTTAAAAATACAAAAATATCGACTGCAGTAACTGAAAATGTTGGATTTTTAATTGCGCTGTATTTTAAGCTATAGCTCTTGAAAAAGAAATATCAAACTGAAAATGTTCAACTGAAGTCCGCCATTTTGATTTTATAAAATTTTAATACAGCCAGTGTCACTCGCACTGCCAAGATGAATCTAACAACACCTCATATGTCAAAATTCGTCAAGTCGTTTAAGCTGTAGCTCGTAAAATTTTTGGGATACATGGATACATACCCACCCGGGAAAAACATTACAATCCATCTGAGACAATCTTGTAATAAAGACAGACCAAGTACTTATTTAAAACGGGCACTCCGGAGACCTCGCCTGTTTATTCGTGAATTCTTGGGAGTATGTAACAGGCGCAGTCCCGGTAACCGGCTTTCAACTGGTCATTTTCATTTTTAATGCCCGTACCTACTGTGACATTCGAATGTTTCCGTTATTGGTGTAGTAGACGTTAAGTGGATCAATGATGATTAGTAAAAAGGTGAAATACAAGACTCAAGCATGAGATGCTTATAGAATGCGTTGATGGCCCATAACCACTGTTATATTTTCCTTCCCTAATGGCATAACAAGAACTTTGTAATGTCCTTTATGCAAAGATATTTGGGCGCAATGAAGTGCGCTGGCTTCACTCTCACAATCAGAGTTAGGATCGCCATTGACCCATGATAGCTGGTCACTAATAAAGTCTTCATCCTGAGTCTGAGGGGTAAAGGCGACGTCCTCGCGCCTATATGGGCTAACAAAGCGGACTGCCGCCTTAAAATGTGAGCCAATGATGCAAGCGAGGCTTCCTCCTCGGAATCTACATTTGAATATTTTCCATCATTATTTTGTTGACTCGGAGGGTCGTTAAAATTCGAAGATTGATACGGAACATCCTCCTCGTGTTCTCGCGATTTAGACCTCGTACGACTCGTAACAGGACGACGACTAGAACTATCAGACTCCAAACATGTTTGAGATTTGGCAACATCAGCGTGCCTTTGTCTAACAGCAGGTTTGGCGACATCGTCGTGTCGGCATCTATCATCAGGTTTGGCAACATCGTCATGCCTGACAACCTCGCCGGTGATCTCATCATGCTGGCGGAACCGCTTGGTCCCATCTTTTTTAATCTGCGTAGCTTCTAAATCTGCCAATTTTCTTCGTAAAACTCTTATCTTCTCATCAACATTATCCACCACTTCCTCTTTCGGTTCTTCACCACTTTCGGCATTTTAATAGTATTAACCTACCACGCACAACAAATCACTATTTGCATACACCGATCGCGCGATACAATTGGTTCGACACGCAATGAAAGAATGACCTAGTTCGCCGGGGTCGGGGATCAGCGGAGTGCAGGGAATCGAAAAATCGATATCTTCAAAATGCGTGTGGTTGGATAGGAAGTGGAAGTTACTACAGTATTCTTAATTACGAGACGAGGCGGAATATAATACAGGTAATACCGTACGTACGTCTAGCAGCCCGCCACACCGACAAACCTTCGGTCACTTTGGTGATGTATTGGTTGCCTATAACATCGATGCTGGCTGATAGCGATAACCGCGTAATTCAAATCGTTACTGATATACTGTATGCTGTGCATTATTTTAAATCTTATTATATTCCTGCAATCACTTAGCTTTTATTTGATATTTTTATGCGAGTTGATTCACTTTAACAAGTTTAATATCTTCATAAAAATATGTTTTTGAATAAGTCTTTTGGTACTGTTTCAAACATGCGAGTAACGATATGTTTATGAAAGTAACGATTCGGTACTTCGAATCTTTCCTACTATTCGTTACTCAGTAACGAATACATACGGTTCGTAACAGCTCTACAGTGTAGACAAAGAGCATTTTGCTTGTCACTCGAATAGATTTTTGAGTATAATAAATTATCCTAAAAATTAAACAAACGCATTTTCTCAAGAGTGAGCCGCTTTATTTTATTTGTTTATACCTCAAATAAAATTAACTTCTTCCATGTCGTTACATTCACATTCTTCTTCTTCAGCAACTGCTCCTCCATCTTCACAGTGCTCTGCAAGAATCGGACCATTGTAATTCTGGATCAGTGTCCCAGTTTTCTCCAGAAAACGATTCCAGTAATGCCTTCAAAATAATGGTTTCACCCCCTGCGCTGATTTTGACACACACACCCCCTGCGCTGATAACTCGTGCCCCAAAAATTCAACTCTATTTATTCTGTATATACATTTGCCTTCATTTAGCATGTTTATGTTTATGCAGTGTCAGGAGTGTTTTACTCAGGCGTTGATCATGTTCATCGATATCTTTACCGTAAATAAGAATGTCATCAATAAAATTGCCTGTTCCCTGGCATGAATGGAGGATTCTTTCCAATGTTTTTTGAAAAATCTCTGGAGCACATGATATTCCAAACATAAGTCGTTTGTACCTGAATAACCCATTACTGGTAATAAATGTAGTTATGTACCTAGATTCTTCCGATATTTCTAATTGGTGAAACGTATACTTGATGTCTGGAAAACAATCGTGCTTGTCGGAAGTGTGGAAGTAAGGTGTCCATAGTAGGAAGTGGATGATTTTCTCGTAGAATAGCCTCATTGGCCCTTCTCATGTCCCCACATATTCGGACATCCCCATTGCTTTTCAAGATTGGTAATATTGGCGAAATCCATTTAGAAGGCTCCTCAACTGCTTCTACAATGTCAGACTCTATCAATTCCCTTTAAGTTTCTTTCTACCTTTGCTTCTAATGGTATTGGTATTCGTCTGTAGGGCTGACATACCGGGCTAACTGAGCTATCGATTGGAATGTCAATCAAAACGTTCTTAAATTTTGGAAATTGCTCTGTTGTATTTACACCCAATCCAATTTTAAGAACACCTAAAGCCATCGCACTAGATTTTCCCAGTAAGCATCTAGATCCATTTTTTATGACATAGAATGTTGCAATATCCTGATTACTTCCTACAGAAATTGTTGACCTAAATGATCCAAGAACATTCAAAGGAGTTTTGCTCCCATATGCAAATAACAATTTGTCGGGATTTTTTACTTGATCTCATACTTCAATTCTTTCTTGCTTTAAATTGTCCCATGTTTTGTCATCTAAAATGTTACTTTTACTCCCTGAATCGATTAGCATATCTAGCGGTACTCCACCCAGTTTACATTTAACAATACTATCATCATCGATTTGAAAAACATACTCTATATCTTCTGAGTCAACGTTATGCACGTTTTCTGTCTCCGATCTGCCTTTCGAATATTTTTCCACGAATTTCTGTCTTTTTGAGTTTTCAAATTTGCTGCCGTACTTGTCCGGTAGGTTGTTACATTTGGTACAAATCTTAAATTTGGCATAGTTGAAACGGGGAAAATTTGGACAAATTGCGTATTGCAAGTCTGCTCCTCGTATATCTCTCATGCAAACTTCACATGAAGAAATATCTTTTTTTACATATTTGGGGATGAAGCAACTTACATATCCTAAACTAACTTTACTTATGTACTGCAGTGCTTGGTTTGGAATTTCTGATGGAAATGAACACACATCCGTACTTGAAGGCACTACCACATCTACAGTGATGAACTTTTTCACCGCCACTATGAGATTTTTTGAATTTTCACTTTCACAATTAGCTGACATAGAGTGGCTGTTAGAAAAGTTGTTTATCAGTAATGCTTTGAAGTGATTTTTAAAATGACTACAAGTCGGATTGGTGCCTCGTAGACCCTGCTATTTCATCTGGCCAAAGAAGTTTTCAAGGGCGTCTTGGTTCAGTCACCTACACTTCAACTGATTAACGTTGCCTTGTTCCAACATTTCAAATATTTCTATAATGCCATTTATGGGGACTATCCAGTTAACCAATGATGGTGGCCTTTATCATTCTTCGCTACCCTCTGCTGCAAAGTCTCATTATTGTAGGAGTATTGGTTGTTTGTCTAGGGGTTTGAAATAGCGAGTCCGTGGATACAGATGAATATCCGTATATATAACGTATATATATATATATATCGCGTCTAAGTTCGCGTCTTGAGAAACGTTCGTCTTTTTTATGTGTCCTTCTTGCTGGGCGGCTGAGCACATCAGCACATACTTTGAAGTAGTTCCCGAGCTAGCTCTCTCAGGTTAATGGGTAGGAAGACGGTGTTACGACGATATCACTTTATTTATTAACCCTCCATTAGTCGCGTGGATAATTGTAACGCCGAGAGTCGCGCGGATGACAGTGGTCATCCAGTTATTAAATAATATATCTTTCAAAGAATTATTAACAAATGAAAAGTTTGGTGGAACAATGTTTTATTTTATAATATTTATATTGGATATAAACTAATACGTCAATCTAATATGGGGATTTTAATAAAACTAGAATTCCAAATAAGAAACATAAACTGCTCGACTAAGTATAAGTATTCACTGACTCTGAACACAACTGGTACAAATATTTTTAAGGTGGTATACACAGGCCCAATCATTACATTTGTAACACCATTTCCTGCTCATTTTGTTACGTTGCCTTCCAGACTGATAGCACCGCCCTCGTCACCCGGTTTTATCATATTGCTGCATTGTCTCCTCCTGGATCCCTACAAGTAACTTAGCTCTTCTGCGAAGCTCCCTTGGGAGGGTTTCGATTTTCGCCATCCGTTCTATTTGTGGTTTTATTAGAGCCCAACTGAGGTTTTCTAGAAATTCAGCTCTTTTTGCATTTGTTGTTGAAGCTGTCTATAGATACAAAACGAATTTATTGCCGCTATGTTGAGAAAATCATAAAACAGTACCATGGGCCACCGTCTTGTACTGCGTTGCACGTTATTTTTTTGACACAATTGATCTAAAAGGTCAACCTCAACTTTAGTCATATTATAAAACGTGACCATTTCAGGCTTTTGTGCTTCGCCTGTTGAAGCATCTATGGCTCCATCAAAGTGCATTGTAGATAATATGATAACTGCTTTATTTTTTTTTGGCAGTAGGATACCAGACTACAGTCTTTCTGAAATCCAAAGGTTGACGAATTTATTTGTCTGCTTTTGTTTGCTAAAAATTCTTTGGGTATTTCCCTCTTATTTTGACGCATAGTAGGGGAAGGTGGTACAAAATGATCCCCTTAAGGGAAAACGGCTGAGAAACGACTGTATCCAGCTTTTGATAAAAGTTAAAATATTTAAAGCGTAGCTATGCAATCGAACTACAAATTTAGTAACCTTTGAATCGCGTAAGCCATTAGGAATAATTTTTATTAATTTTTCCGTGAAGCTCTACCAAAGGATCATTTTGTACACCCCTGTGTCCAAAATGATCCCCGAGATGCGGGTAAAATGATCCGGGGGATCATTTTACCCCACTATACAAAATTCATGTAAGAACTAAAAGAATCAATAATACTTTTACAAGTTTTAGTGCAGATTCAGTATCAAAATGAATTAATAAAACACATATTTATAAAAAGAAACTTTTATTTAGAGGCCAGTAGAAACGAAAAGGAATCTTGAAATATACATTAGAACATTAATATGTACATGGATATATGTTCATATCATAAGAATGTATATAATATCAACTTTTACAGTCTTAATTGTTTCCGAGCAGAAGTGAAACGATCATCGGCATCGACACAAAAATCACATGTGAACTCGTCAGCGTCATCGGGATCAACGCCAGCGCAAGCTTCGTGGCCCCATCTTAAGCAAGCACAACATTTGATCCATCCTTCACCTCTATTATTATTGGAAAACCTCTCATTACAAAACAAACACTCAGCATCACTTTCGTCCTCTGAAGATGACTCACTTTTGCCTCTTTTAGGTTTTAGACGTTTGTAGAGGAAGTGGTCCGAATATGAGCCCCCCATTTGTTTTTTTTTTATAAATTTTGGAAACTTACGAATAAATATCCAGTAAATTACACACTGCACGCTCAAAGGTTTACCTTATGGTATATTAAAAAGGCATTATCAAAAAAATTAAATTTAGGTCGAATTTGTGTCAACACTTAAATTATGTACAGATCTACTTTTGGATTAGACTGCGTGGAATATGGGCCCCCTAGTAAAATAATTGACAGGTATCTAACAATTTGAAAAAACATATATTTTTCAAATAAAAAAAACTGAAAATGAAAATGAAAATACATTTCAACTTAAAAACTAAATATTACACGCAAAAGTCACAAATATATGCATCTTTTTCGGCACCTGAACATTGTTCGTGAGCCCATTGATTGCACATGAAGCATTGAATCCATAGCTCTCCTCTCTGGTCATCGGAAAAGCAACCATCACAAAATAGGCATGCTGTATCACAGTCATCAGGAACAGATTTGCCAATTTCGTCGATATCCATATCTTCATCGTCTGGGACAAACTCGTGACTTTCATCCTCAGAGTCGTTGACTTTATTGTCTTTTGCTTGCTGTCTTTTTTTGTTAGTTGTCTTCTTTGCTTTTGATTTTAAAAAGACTTGTCGTTTGGTGCTTGCTTTCTTAGGCGTGTTGGTGCAGGATTTCTCTAACTCATCCTTGTAGGGGGAAGAGGTGATCACTTGCGATTTAGTTGATTTTCTTCCCCGAGTGGTATTTTTCTTTGTGACAGAAGGTACAGGTGAAATGTCAAATGGTGAGACCAATTTAACGGAATTTTCCTTTCCTGGAACAGATGGTCTAGAGAAATTGGAATTTGACGGCGACGATGTTGCCTGGGATTGTAATTTAGCTGTATCGTCCCAAAGAGAACATCCTGGCTGAGGTTCTGGGGTACCATGCTGGGGTTCTGTTGTGACAGGCTGCGCTTGAGGAAAAATGTTGCAGTTTTTCTCAGCCTGAATTCGTTCAGATATAAAATCTGCTTCAGAAAAAATGTGACGGTTGAACGGATATATTCGCGTCGCCCTAAAACCACTAGCAGCTATTTCGGCACACTGTGATTTTAAAAAGGCTTTACCTAAAAGTTCTGCCAAGTCAAACTGTGTGAGGGCTCGTTGGTTAACACGAAGCCAATTTCTAATTTCCTCACTGTAATAAGCCTTGAAACTTCCCATGAATGTTTTATCAAGGGGTTGTAATTTATGAGTTGAGTGAGGCGGCAAAGAGATAATGGAAATATGATTTTCACGAGCTAGTCGAATTACTTCTAAGTTTCGTGTGTGGCTATAATGGCCATCTAACACTAGCAGAACTGGACATTCTTTTGTTGGTTTAACAAATTTTATGAAATGCCTCATCCAATCGGAAAACAAATTCTGTTGCACCCACCCACTTGGATGTACTGCATAGATTGAACCTGGAGGAGCCCCTCGCATCAGCTGTTCGTTGCGATTTTTTCTCGGGAAAATTAACATGGGCGGTACAAATTGACCTCCAGCGCTCATTGCAGCTATAAACGTAACTAGTGAACCCCGTTCGGCTGAGGTAATTGAAGCAATTTGCCGTTTTCCTTTTCTTCCCACCACTGATGCCACCTTACTTTGAACAACTGAAAGCCCAGTCTCATCTACATTGTAAATTTGGTGAGGCGAAAAGTTATTTTTTGAGTATTCACTCTGCAAATTGTCAAAAAATTGCTCCACATTTTCCTTATTGAAGCCTAATGCTCTAGCGAAGGAAGTTCCTGTTGGTCTTCGAATAGAAAGTACACTTTTGTGACGTAGTAAAAATGCATCCAACCAGCTTCTCCCCGCCACACCATTTTTAAATGGATGAGCTATTCCATTACAAACAGCTAAGACATATGCCATTTTTCTAATGTCCTTTCTTGTGAGACCATAGTAAGTAGCTTCCATGGACAAAACATATTGAACAAGTTCTTCCTCCAGTTCTTTTCCTAATGTTGTCTTTCTTCCTAGTTGAGTTTTAACTACGTCACTAATATTTAAGTTACCTTCCTTTTGTTTTTTTAACAGTCTTTGAAGTGTAGATCGTGGCACGCTGAACTGTTTGCTTGCAGTTTTAAGACCCATTATTTTGTTATTAACACCGTCCATAGCCTTAACCATATCTTCACGTCTCCATGTTTGTCTTAAGTTCTTTGAAATAAACTTCGCCTTGCTTCGTGGCATAATGAACTGCAAAAACAACTTTATTAAGACTTGGTCCGAATATGAGCCCTGTCCCATAATAGGACCACGGTAGGGGCCCATATTAGCAACATTCCATCTGAATATTTAAAAGCATTCAATTTCTTCTCAATCCATTATTAGGTTAGTTTTTATGTTGGGATATCAAATACTGATCACTATTCTAACATACTAACACATCAACTCACCAGTTTTAAACATAAACGTTAATAAATAGCACAAAAACACTTACCGTAAAATATTTGTTGAACTACACAAATAAACTTATGTCACCTGATACTATAGAGATACACACGAGACTGCGTGCATAAACAGAAAAATGTTTGGGGGTCTAGTAGAAGTATTTTAGTACGAAATTCATAGATGTCGCGACGTGCTCTAGTTGAAATATATTGGGGGCCCATAATAAGTGCAGGGCTCATATTCGGACCACTTCCTCTATTTTTCGGTCACATTTTCTTTTGCTTTTCTTTTTCCTTTTTCCTCATTTGATTTAGAATTTCCCTTGATTGAGTTCTTTTTATTTTCGTTGCGTTTATTTTTTTTGCGTTCTTTTTCATTTTTTTTATTAACTTCCTCTTCTAAGTAATTTTTATAAGGCGAACTTGTAAGGATTGCTGTACTTACTCGAGCTTTGATATTTTTTCTACGTTCTTCTGCCATTTTAGGGAAAGGTCGAATCTGGCATGGAGGGATGCTAAAAGATGTGGACGCAACTGGTGATGCAAATGAATCTTTATCCGAAGTGTCATAAGACGCCGATTGAGCAGCAGCTGCAAGAGATGGTGTATTCGTAGTTATGGATGAGGTAGAAGGCGAAACATTATCGTAGACGGAAGATACTTCAACTGATGTCCACGGTAATGGAATGGCGGCTGAACTTCTCAAGCTGTTAGAAATACTTTCGTTGGAAGCCAGAATAGTAGTAGGTGCTTCAGCTACACGGTATTCGTTATTCTCTCCTTGCTTGTGGGCTGCACATGTCGATAAGGTACAAGGTGACACAGCAGTAAGGTTGGATGGTTCATCAACTAGTACACATGTCGTAGAATCGGCTGGAAGTACAGGAGCCCTGGGTATAAGTTGTCGCGGTTTATGGTCACCAAAAACTTGAATTTCATCAGGCGCTATATTTATTGATGGATGGGGCACCAATATTTCGTTACTTACTGCTTGATCAGATGTAGTGGCAGCAACGAAGTCTACATCAGTAAAAACATCAGGATTGAGCGGCCATATTCCACACTTTTCAAATCCTTTGATAATATTTGAGGGTGCAGCAGCTTTCAAATATGCTTCTCCAAAGATTTTACCTATTTGAAAAACTGTTACTACACGACCCGCATTATTATTCATCCACCTTTCTAAAGCCTGGTTGTGATACACGCTCAGTGAAAACATTACACCAACATCGAGTGGTTGAAGTTTGTGCGTGCAGTGTGGGGGTAAGCACAAAATTGTTACGTTATTTTCTCTGGCTTTTATTATGACGTCCAAATTTCTGGTATGAGAAAGATGGCCGTCCAGTATTAGAAGTATGGGATCTTCTGTAGATGGTTTAGTATGGGACAAGAAATGGTCAAACCACTGAGAGAAAACCTCAATATTCATCCAGCCGGAGGGATTGCACGCGTACACAGAGCCTGGTGGAGTACCGTCCATTAATTCTATTTTCATTCGCAATCGGCGAAATATTAGCATTGGTGGTATGAAGTTTCCTCCAGCTGATCCGCAAATAACCGCTGTAGTTGATTCACCTCTTTCGGCAGACGTGATTCTCGCTACTTGTTTGCGCCCTTTTTTGGCAAAGATTTTACTATTTTTGGTCGGAACGGTGTTCAAACTAGTCTCATCAACGTTAAAAATGCGATGAGGAGGAAATACATGCTTTTCCTGAGCTTTTTGTAAATTTTTGTAAAATTTGTCAATAATCGGTT